TCCACATGTTCACTGCCACCACAGTATTGTTTTACTGTGGAGAGTTGTTGGGCTAGCTCAGATCGATACTGTTGAGCTATGGCAGTTCTTCGAAGATAGTGGATTGGCACGTTTCTTGCCGACTTGCGAGGGCCTGAAGGGAAACGAACTGTCAGGCGTGCGCGCACCATGGCGTGATCGGAATCAAGTGGTGTGCCCCACGCTAAATCAGTGGTGAACGAAACACTACACTACAACCACTGTACGACAAGTACGCGATTCTTGCAGTTGATAATGATGGTGATAAACTTTAACCTACTCCAAAGTGCCCCCCAGACAATGCGTGATCGGAATCAAGTGGTGTGCCCCACGCTAAATCAGTGGTGAACGAAACTGGCAACTACAACCACTGTACGACAAGTACGCGATTCTTGCAGTTGATAATGATGGTGATAAACTTTAACCTACTCCAAAGTGCCCAAACCCCCAGACAATCATTCAACTAATCTCGAGGAGAGCTGGCAACAAAAACGCCCGCGATATCCATTTCCATTTGCCTGTTGTAGTGTTGCCAGTAAATCACAGAAATCCCTTGCAGATCCTTTCCTGAAAGGAGGATCGCACTCTGAATTAGACACGATTAGCCAAACATTTCGTACTTTAAGGTGCTCTATAAGATGCTGGGTGGAAATACTTGTTTTGGAGCTAAACACTTGTTTCCTGATTGTCTCGTGTTGGATTCCTACGCGGTTCGCGTAGAAACTCTTTGACGTGTTTTGAGTATCCTGCAATCCCTTGGGTATATTGTACCAGATGTGTGCTTGTATGTAGCATCAACACCTGCGACAGGCGTTTTACGTGACTGTTACTCTCGGTTTACAGTAAATGATGGTGTAATAGTAACTCGCTGTGGGACAGAGGGTCAGTGAGCCTTTTTGGGAACGAACATTCTTCTTCATAATTTTGGAGAGTTTAAATGGGAGCTAAGTGGTTGTCGGGAAAACTTTCTCTTTTGGAACAAATGCTGTACTTCCGGCTTGGTGCTGAATTGAGCTCAGTCGGGTACAGTTTCTACGCCGGAGTTCTGTTCCATTGTTGTGGTCTTCACATTTTACCTTGATTACTCATAACTTCGATTTTCATGTCTGTTGTTGATTGCCTCCTTAGTTAGCTCATTTTTGTAGGGAATTCCTCACGGGAGTCTTCTTAGGGTGGACTTGATCAATGAAAATATAATAAAATAATAAAATCAAGGGAAAATTGTCCAGCTGTGGCACTCTTTCGGCTCACAGTTGCGGGTAACTCGGAAGGACGGGCGTTGAGATACTACTAGGTCGCCGCTGCCTTGGCGGGAGTATTTGGAAACCCAGTGTTGGGTTCGAACCGCGGACCTTGTCAGTATCCGCTAAGTTATCTTAAGCTAAACTTAGTGAAATACCTTTCAATTATCAAGTAGACTTGATGCATTGTGATTCGTGGCCTTTTCGGAGAGGGACCACTGTTTTTGTGATAAGATTTCAATCGATTCATTGTTCAGCTGTTTTACTTATGGCCAACGAGCTGTTTACGTTATCATGAACAAGGTTGCTACGGCTGATGATGGCATATATGGTCCAGCACTGTTCTCAGTAGTTCCCGTGGAGCTAACCTCACAACCTCATACTTCGTCTTTGACTTTTATACAGTCGAATGTAATCGCTCTTCACTTTTTTCGACTAACGTCTGACGAATAAGTTCCGAAACTTAGACCTTAGTGTTAGGTTTTCATCTGACGTAGACATGTCTGCGTAACCCGGGCTTTTCATGAAATTCTGACCATTTGTTACTTTCGTCAGCTTTCCTCGCCTTTGTCGTCTATTGCTCGCGGTTTATTGCTTCTAGCGTCTAGAACTAACTCGTTCCACTGCTGCCTTACTCTCCCACAGGAACGGATCAAAGCGGAATTGGAGAAACAAAAGACGGTAAGTGATTCTGCAAGCTCATCTGTGCTTGGTTTCTCACGATTTCGTCATACTTCCGCCTTCATTCACCTTGCTGTAAAGTTCTTCTAGGGTGCCCACGCTTCGCCGTGTGGCTGCATGGTGTGGAAAACGTCATCGAGTATGTCTACTCTGGTGGGAAATAAATCTACTTTGAGTTTAGTCGATTCGAGATCCGGAATCCAAATGCAAGTAATATCAATTGATAGAGCATGACTGAGGGTGAAGACGAACTGCTGACCTGTCTTATCCCTCCTCCCTAATCGTGTGCTGATGATTAGCCCTACCCATGCGCACTGAATTAACAGTCGGCGTGTGTAACACCATTAGTGACCGTACTTGTGTAATTTCCACAATGGGCCAGACGTTGATACCGCCTAGCTACCCAAAGAGCGCTCGTTTGGATTAATGAGAGCCAAAAACAGCTTTGTAGATGCTGGAATTGGGATTCCCAGTATACGTAGTATGGGCGAAAAGAAGACACTCATGAGTGGACCTGGCCAATCTATCTCCTACTCGCTGGATGGGTACCCCACCAACTGAGCTGCTGAGCATGTTACCCCACCCCGATCATGCGGATCCAACCGAATTTTGTTTATGACTTCTTATGTCCAACTTTACTTTACTGGATGTTAACAGATGGCATTCGTTGTCCAGCAATTCATTCCCTCAATCGTCGTCTTGAGCAATGGGCTGAACACTTCAGTTCAGCTGGTCTCTTTCAACACAGCCTCTGGAAGAACCCAGTGGGCTAAGATGGAACATCGATACCAGCTCGCCATTAAACAACGTGGGATATCAATCCTCAAGCACGACAAGGCGCTTGGCGAGATCTTGGTGAACAGTCTGATATGAATGCTGCAGAAGATTTGGAACGAAAACAGGATGCCAGTCGAATGGGGTCCTCTACCGTCATCCCAGTTTTCAAAAGGGCGCAAGAACGTCATGTGAAGTCCATCTTGGTATCAACCTGGTATCCGTCGCACTTAAAGTGCCCACGTATTATTTTGCGCAGGTTAATAGATTATCGAGAGCGACAGATTCGTGAGAATCAAACTGGGTTTCGAGTTGGGCGAGGATGCATCAATCATAGCTTTATTTTGAGATAAGTTCTTGAAGAGCGCCACTTTTTCAGCTGTTCCAATTTGGTCGGTTTTATTGATCCAAAAGCTGCCTTTGAATCTGCCCATCGTGAGAAACTTTGACGTGTCTGCCTATCAAAGGTGTCCCTTCCAAATTTATATCCCTTATGAATGCACTGTATGCCAACTCATGTGGACGGGTACGAGTATACGGCAAACTTTCGCCTGGTTCACTACGTCTGGTAATGTGAAACAAGGCTGTCTTCTCTTGCCTTCCCTCTTCAACTTTGTTAGTGACGTACTGCTTGAAATTTGTCTGCCAGCCTCTGAGACCTTGGAGTTCGAAATGCCCCCGAGACGTTTGCTCACAGACATTGAGTGAAAAAATCGTTCAGATGTAACACCCTTTCGGTACCTAACTGCCATGCTACCCGAAGGTTGCACGAGAGCTGGGATACTGCCAGGTTGCCCAAGCCTAGACAGGGGAGTCGAGAGACGGAGTTCGGGTTCGAACCATGGACCTTCCGGTCAGTAAATTCGCGCTCTAACCACTTGGGTCATTTCGCCCCCCCCCTTATTGAGTATGCAGAAGATATTGCTCTCCTTGGTTCTGATCCCTCACAATTGCAAACCATTTTGAATAACCTGAATAATACCACGTGGCTTGGGCTGCGCTTTACGCCTGTGCTTCTACAACACTGGGTGGGATCAAACCCAAAACTCACGCTTGCAGGCGGGCCAATCGAGGCGAGCGATAAATTCTTTTACCAGGGCAGATGCATAAGGTCTGGTTGACTGGCTGGAGATGAGATTACTTCTTGAATTGGAAAAAACAGGACAGCTTTTGCCAACCTGCGACTCTTGTGGTGACGAAGTGATGTCATTTAGTCTGTCAAAGATTGAGCTTGCACTGCAGCGGTGCGATCCATACCACTTTATGGATCAGGAACGTAGACGTACAAAAATTGTCGTAGTTCGATGCTCAGTGTCTCCGAAGCATTTGTCGGATCTGGTGGGAACATCAGATTAGCGATGATGAGGTATGCCAGATGGTCCTAGGAAAAAGGAGCTCCCCCGTGATAGACGAATTACTCACGCTTCATAGGTTACGCTGGTTGGGAAATGTACTTCGCATGCTGGAGGACCGCCTGCCTTGCAGAGCTCTTTTCGCCCAGTCTTGCGCTGTGTTGGAGCGACTGATAAGTGGACAGTGTATGACCTGGCAACGAAGTATGAAAACGCTATCCAGTAAACTTAGTTGGGTCGACAACTGCCCCCCCCCCCCCGCGATGGGGACTCCGGGACTCAACTCATCAAGGGTTAACGACACCGTCAGAAATGGTTCAATGACGCAGTCAGTGGCGCTCGTGCATCAGAATTATCTTAAATGCCTAGCTACCCAGTTCCCGAACTAACTGAACATGCTAACGCCCCCTATCGCTCCCCTGTCTTTATGGTGGTCGAAACCGTAGCAGGTAGAACTAATGTGCTCATTGTACACGGTTTGTAGCTGATAAATTTGATTGAATTATCCTATGCAGGTTGATCCGTCTTCGAGTAATCAAGTTCGTGAGAATCCAGATGGGTTTTATCCTGGCCAAGGCTGCATCGATCATATCTCCACTTTACGACATGTACTGCAAGTGCGTCACCTTTTCCGACCAACAACGATATCCCTTTTTTATCAGTCTAGAGTGTGCTTTTAATTTCGTCAGTTATCGGGAACGGGGAGTTTCTGGCCATGAAATTTGTCCCTTCTAAACTCTTTTCGCTCACAAAGGTTCTATTTGCCCATTTCGTGGTCGCTCTCCTGAACTCGTCACATCCAGCGATGCCAGGCAATTGTCACACTTCGTCTTTAACTTTGGGATCGAAGTGCTGTTTGTCTTCTTTACGCGCTTCTCATACCTTGTGTATACAAATGCTACCGTGACATTTACTCATTGCATACGCCGCAAAATTGCTCTGCTTGGATCACGTCCTTTATAAATACAAACTACCCCAAATAATTCTTATGCATATTTTGCTGTGCACTCCAAAAACATGGTAAGTGTAAAGTGCTATTCTATGATTGGCTGAAATCAGATCTAAACTTGACGCTTTTAGGTGAACTGATCAATGTGATATATGAGTTTGTCCATCTGGATGGCTGTATAAGTCCCGAAGAAATCACTTCCCCAATTGAGAAATGCAGGGCAGATTTTTACAATCTCCAACATATGTGGAGCCGATGTGACATCCGCTTGGCCATCAATGGCAGAGTCCAACATGTCTTACTTCCTGGATTGGAGAGGTGGCCGCTGTGTGTGGAAGATCTTCGGAGACTATGTCTGACCACTGGTGCTCCAAAAATGCACTGAACCATAGAAGCCTTGACCGCCACTTTTGGGAATTGAACCTGGACTGTCAATTTTGGAACAGTCGTCAACTGCCGTCGCTGTCTGGAAACCATTTATGGTACGGCGGCGTCTCAGGGTGTGGTAATTCTGTATCTAAAAGTCTACCTACCCGAAGGAGTTCCAGGGGGCAGTTCTCACCTCACCACTCTTTAACCTTTCTTTTCGCCCGTGATTATGCGTCTCAGCATGAAGCAGTTGTCCACAGGCATCCTTCTTCAGTGCTGGTTGGTAGCATGGCACCTAAGTACCAGTTCGCATGATTATCAGCTCCATACTACATTTTATTCCAGCTAATTCATATGAGACCTCTGCCCACTAACAGTCCAGGCTCGCCGTACTTTGACCACCGACTTCCCCGAATGTTTGCTTGTTTGGCTACTGAAATTCAAAAAGTAGTGTGAGTATTACATGGTTCCACTCTGGAGGCCGGAAAGTTGGCGGTCGTATCAGCCCTACTCATTCATTGGGGTGCATGCGCCCATATTCTGTCTTCGACACGTTGAAGAAAACTGGAAGCACTTGGCGAGCGAATCAAATCCAAATGAAGCTTGGGGGTGGGGTGAGAAAGTGGATTGGTTCACTCGGGTCTGACGCATCGACATGCTGGTGCTGGCGGTAATTCCCTAACCCAGTTCGCTCGGGTCGATTTATTTCCTTTACTGCAGGTGGACAAAGGTGGTGGTTACAGTATAAGTCCGCCTGATCAGCGCGTACTACTGGTTGTGGGTTGAACCAAGTAGGGCGGTGCGCCACGATATCTATTTTTTTGGGCGGGGGGCTGTGAGAGAGGGGTGTCAAAATGATGAATGCGAACTACCGACGTTCTGTACCCGGCTAACGAAAACTTAGTTGCCTGCTGTTGAGCAGCGTTCGGATCGGTTAAAAGGCACCGATTCGCCATGATTGATGATGGCATACCCGAAAAATCATTGGCTTTTGGTATACTATGCAAACCCTCGGGTGCCCATCCCAGCATATGGAGAAAACTGTGTTCAGGTTGAAGCCCCGCATGCGATAGGACTTCCTTCTTTTTGTTGGCCTTCAAATTCATGGTGGACTGGGCAATACAGCATGATTGAGTTGACTGCAACCGTTTAAATGTCTAAGCCACACATATTGAATATGCCTGTGGCATAATCGCTTTGAGGAGTGGCGCATCTGAATCTGAGCGCTTTTAGATTGTATCAGCCGGTGCGCTCCATTGGTTACTTCGACCCCGACCTATGTATCTTAACTTCTGCCTAGGCTTAGGCAACCTGGCAGTATCCCAGACCTCGTGTTCCCTCTGGGTGGCATGACAGCTAGGCACCGGAAGGGTGTTGCAGCTGACTGTTTGATGTTACATAAAACAAATCAGGTACTGTCATGAACTTTGCAGTTGAACATTTGTGCTTCGTTTTTGCTTGGCAGTCGACTGGCGAGGCTAGTCTAGTAACAACGAGCATTGTCACTTTGCTGCTTCTTGGTCAGAGTGAAGAGAGAGCCGGCCGCTTCGAAGACTGTGGTGCTTGCTGCGTGGTTCTGAGGGTTCTGACGTGTAGTCGACATAAGTAAAATGCTGTGCAGTATGAATTTCTTCTGGACGGAGTCGGGATTGCTTTTATTCGAGGATAACTCTATGACCTACCGATTGTTCTGAAGTTGATATCTCAATCTTCACCTTCCGTTTGGAAAGGGCCAATCCATGTTTCATGGGACACGCGTCCTTGATGATCTGTAACCGAAGACGAACTTGTTTTAAGTACTTATTTGCCTTTCGTCACCTTTGTGCAATGAATTTCGTCAGTTGCTTTCCCAGTTCCATAAGTTGTCAGAATGAAAGTGAAGCCTCTGGTCTCCTTTCCTCCTTTTTCTCACTGTTTATAATCTACGTTCTAATCCTTTCGCCTTCCCAAACCGAAGTCCTAGTCTCTTTCGGTGAGAATGAAGCACTAAAGTTTGCGTTATGTCGATGCCCTTGAAGATTTTGGAGTTGTGGATGCAATCAGTGTAGTTTTGGAAACATCGTTCTTGGAAATTGCGAATTAAGCGCTAACTCGCATGACGTTGCTGAACGCATACCTTTGACGACCCTTATCAGTTACTCGAGATTCTAGATCCGTTTGTGTTAGACTCGGTAACTAACCTATCCCTTCGAGTTTCAACTACCCCTGTTCCACCGAATCCATATAAGCATTCGTTTCCCGCTCCTCCTGTGCAGGTCGAATCTGTTAAACGAAAACATCTTGCTCCAATTGTGGAACAGGTATGTTGATCACTTTGTCCTAGTTCACGTCAATGTTACTTGATTAGCGCAACTCTGTTTGACTATACCTGCTTTTGCTGTCGGCTTTTACTCATTAGCCATCCGTAACCCATTGTAGGAAAATGCTGCCGTACAATCCCAACCTGTTCGACCAATCAAAATCAATCCGAACACAACTGAACACACCCCAGCAGCTCCCAACGTGCTCAGACCAATCCAGTTACAAAAAACAGGCCCCAGTTCAGCTCTTCAAACGACCACTGCTGTAAAGCGAGCCTATCCGACACCCATCCAGCCAGCTCCTGTGACGAAAGCACCATTACCGAACACTGCTTCGAAGGCGCAACCAACCCGTGTTGCTGTGGTTTCAGTACCCAAAGTGCCCCCAACACAGCCGACGGTGTCAGCAACCGTAAAGCCGACTGCTCTGGAGTCAAGCCGGTTACCGAATTCTCCGCTAAAGTAAGCACTGGCTTGTTAGTCATCCTCACCGTCAACAGCAACACAGCAGTAGTAGCTGCCATACAACCTTGAGGAAGAATGCCTCAGTGAATCGTGAAAAGGCAGGGGAAGGGCAAGCACTTGATACAAGCAATCTTCTGCCGTCATTGAACAGTAGCTAGATAAAAGCACCTCGGCATTGTGTCGCATGAAGACGCTATCGGTTGGGCTAACCCATAGTCCTTTGCGAATCTTACTCGACAGGACAAACCAGTTTACAACAAGCCTTAGCTAGGTGGTTCATGGGTTGCATTTTTTTGGTTGTAGTTGTCGATTTCATGCATTGCTCTTTTTTATTTCTATTGGGTGCACTGCGTACAGTTTCACCACGCATTGGTGGAATGAGAGAGTGATTGCCTTGTTAGTTGTGCGTGGTTGTCCTGCATAACTAAAATACATTATCGGTCGCCGTGTTTTTGGTGACCATAGTTCTTATTTTTGGCTGTGATTTGGCAGAAATCCCTCGCTATCCATACTTTTTAAGTTCCTCAGTATTCTCCGCAAAATGCCTCCATAAAATCATGAAAATAATTCTGTGGTTATCTTACATTGTCGCGATGGAACTCTAAGGATTTGAGAGTGGCGGAAGCAGAGAGGTGACCAACCCTTGACATGGCAGAGGGGTATTAAACAGATTACGTAACGTTTGGGTGCTACTTGCCTTCCAGGATGAGGACCGCGTGATCCTCACTGCCCCTGGTTGGAGACGCTGCTAGTCGATGTGAGCGGCGTTCTTGTCGTCCGTTCCTGAATGAGTGGAGATGTAGGCGCTTTGGAATGATTGTAGTAAGGTAGCACCAAGTCCCTTCCCCCGTCCACCTTTGTGCTTTTCTCCACAATAAGGCCTTCGAAGAAATCACGGTTGTACGGCAGCGAAGCATCAGTGTTGCACACTGACTGTAGAATACCTCAACGTATTCAGGAAAGCCCACTTGAGTGACACGCAAAATCACAAGCCAGAAATTGTGAATTCTTGAGATTAATCGAAAGTTATGGTACTGCGTGTATAAAATACGTAATAAAAGAGTTACAAACCTCAAATTATGGGGGTTTCCGTCTAAACTGTTGCACGGAGTAGTGTATCTCCAAAGAAAGCCCGAAGAAGATGGCAAATCGATCTTAGTTTGCGACACACATCTGGGTACAACATGTAATGCAAAATGGTCAAAAAGCGCGCGTAAAGGATGGTCCACCAAACTGGTTCGAAAAATCAAGGGTCAGTTCATGAGGGATTACAAATGCATATCGAGTCTATGAGGCAGACGCAGTAAACAGCAGCAGACAAGGGAAGAGTTTGGCCGCGAAAGGAAGTACACTGATGTTATGCTGTCAATGGTTATGAGGATGACCACTCTATGATTGACTCATTGTCATGGCAACGCGTTCATAGGGAGTGTCTGACATTCAGCCTGAACTGGTAGTGGCAAGCTTCAGTTGTGGTACCCTTTCAGTGCACAGCCGCCGTGCAGCTCAAAAGGAACACTAAGACGGGTACTACCGGTGAAAGGAAGAAGGCCTTCGCTGCGGAGTTATTTATTCGGAAATGCCAACTGACCGGTTACAGACCATTGAACAAGGAAGCAAAACTCTAATCTGCATCTTAGTTACAAAACCTGGACACAGATCTTCTCCCGAACGAGTCTTCCTGGAGATTCATTGCCTCCAATCATTCGTCGGTCAAATAAAAGCAAATGTTACAAAGTGGCCCCGCGAATTCCGCAACAGAATTCCATTTTTCAATCGACGCAAAGCGAAATTCTACGAACAACACATACTACTCGCGTGCCTCCCGATCAGTAGTATCACCGTTACACCGGAAGCAGTCCAAAGGCAAGGCTTGTTTTTGAACCACGGACCGTCCAATCACTAGGTTCGCGCGTTACTGTCTTGGCTGTCTCGATCTCGGTCCAAAGGAGCAGGAAATACTTCGTCGATGTCTATTCATATTTTTTTTGCTGAATTATAGCTTCCGATTGCAAAACCATAGCAGTATAAAGAACGGACTCGAAACAACTTAGTAAAAGCTGTACAGATTAGACTCAAACCATTTTAGCTTGGAGCGAGATCTAAGGAAATTGGTACTAAGGTTCTTGATCAACACTACAACCTCACTTAATTCTCGAGATTTTCATCAGGAATTTGGAGTATATTCAAGGCGCCAAAAGCATTTAGGCCCGCGAAACTGCCTACGCAAATTTGTAGCAAATAACCCAACTAAACTATTTCAACACAGAGAAGTCGTGGTAACACTTTGGCTTTGTGACCATCTTGCTCAATGCGTTAATGCCAATTCACTAAAATACGATTCATCAGGATTTGATTTCAATTCAATTCAATTTATTAGCTATAAACCGTGCGCCATATGCACATTGGTTCCAGCTTCTACAGCTTCGATCACCGGAAAACGAGAAACTAAAATACAACACCAAGCCTTGAAGGCAGAGGCATGCCCAGTTTGTTCGGAAATTGGGTAGCTACGCATTAAAGGCGATAGCTTTGATGCACGAGCGCTACTGACTGCGCGATTGGACCATTTCTGCCCCTGGTGATTTGAGTCCAGGAGTCCTCATCCAGCGAAGCGGCAGTTGCCCACCCGACTTAGTCTACTGGTTAGTACTTCGTTGCCAGGTCATACACTGTCCACCTCTCGATCGCTTCCACTCAGCACAGGGTTGGGCGAAAAGAGCTCTGAGAGGCAGGCGATCTGGCATGCGGAGTACATAACCCACACAGCGCAGTCCATGAAGCGTGAGTAATTCACCTTCCTAAGACACTCATCAGGATAGCGCTGCTCAAGCATGTTGCGAACATAACTTCATTCGGAAGGAACGGACCTAAATCTTCATAATCTTGATTACTCAGTGTGCGTGGTTAGAGCGCGAATTTACTAACCGGAAGGTCCGTGGTTCGAACCCGACCTCTGCCTCTCGTTTTCCTCTGTCTAGGCTTGGGCAACCTGGTAGTATCCCTCGTGCTTTCGCGTGGCATGGCAGCGAAAGGCTGCTACAGCTGGACGATTTTTTTATAACATTTTTTCGCAGTAAAATCTTGTCAACACGGAGCTTTTGGGCATCCTGATTACACAGTGTTTCACGAAATTTGATGCGTCCGGTAGAGCATTGCCTGGATTTTTTCAATCATTTGTCACACCTTTTTACGTGCATTTCATTATTAGTGATGGAGGATTTGTGGGCAACCAGAAGCAGTTCGAACAGTCCGTTGGAAAATGGGACGAATTTTTAGAGTATTTTCGAGCCCAAAACTGTGAGCCTGAAAAGCTCAGCAACGCCACCAACGGCCGAACATTGCCACAGGCTCAACTAGCAGCTTGATACAACAGTGCAGGGTCGAAAAAAAGTCGTTCAGCTGTAACACCCTTTCGGTGCCTAGCTGCCGTGCCACCCGAAGGGAGCATGAGCGCTAGGATACTGCCAAGTTGCCGAAGCCTAGACAGGGGAAGTCGAGAGGCACAGGTCGAGTTCGAACCATGGACCTTCCGGTCAATAAATTCGCGCTCCAACTACTTGAACCTTCTCGCCCCCGAACGGTCGATAAGTTGGTAGGTTGAGCGAAAAGACAATGGCCTCCGATGTCTTGCTCACTTCCCCCAAGTATGTTTGATCAGAGGTCTGTGGTGAAATCCAGCTTGTCTACAGAATTGGTGGACGAGTTTTAAGGTTAAAGATTATTCAAGCGTTTGAAATTCATATTTCCACAAGAAAATGACTGACTTCGTAGTGTTAGTTTGGGTATCGAGCCATCTCAGGATTTCTGTCCGGACTTTAAGCTTCCTATCAGGAGTTATATCAGGATATCCTGAAACACCCGGGTCTGCGGAGAGGGAGCAACCAAAGCGGTCATTGACCCTCTTGCTAATCCCTTTCCTTTTCTGGTTTTTCACTTGGAACAGTGCTACTTTCAATATGTCACTGTTGAACTCGGATTCGGAGGATGAGGACAAACCGTATATCAAGGCCCCAAGTTGGTCGCGTAAAGGTGAGTTTGTTCCTTTTCTCTTCTCCGTGGGAACCCTTTCTTTTCTCATGGTTTCCTTCCGAAATCAGCATATCGAACTGAAAAAAGCTTTTCGACAGACTTAGGAATTGGAGCGCTACATTATGTGTCCCGCCATTCTACCTCAAGTTGTCTCTGGCGTTCACTAGCCAGTGTTTCTGATGCATCTGACTAATGCGGTGAATTAAATCACTGGTATATTTTCATGTGCTGTACATACCGAGTCGTCGCCTACTTTAGGAAAATGTCGTTTTGCGCCCCTAAATCATAAAGCTATTTAATCTGATGCAATGCTATGGAAAGCGATTAGTAAAAGTTTGGTTACTTTAGATGTGACTCGCTTTCCAGGTTGGGGTCGGCATGGCTTCTCTATGCTTGGCTGGAAACGTTTCAGGAGTAAGGGGCGAGATGGCCCAAGTGGTAAGAGCGCGAATTTACTGGCCGGAAGGTCCGTGGTTCGAATCCCACCTCCGCCTCCCAACTTCCCCTGTCAAGGCTTGGCCAACCTGGCAGTATCCCACCCCCCGTGCAACCTTCGGGTGGCATGGCTGCTAGACACCGGAAGAGTGTTACAGGTGAACGGTCTGTTTCAGGAGTAACTGTTAATTTATGTTAATGGCGCTCTTTTCACCTAAACCGATTACCTAAATGAGCGTTTGGAGTTGCACTCCCCTCGGCATAGGCTTCCAAATAAACTGTGGTTGTACGACAGTGAAGCTGTCGACAATGCCGGTGTTCATTCTCGTCTTCATGGTGTTTTGCTAAACTGAAATCTGAATTTTGGATGAAAGAAGCCTTAATTTTGGACCTCGATACTACCTCAGTGAATTGTTAGAAAGTATTATTGACGTTCGGACACCGTCCTTATAGCTATTTGGTTATCTTTCCCATCTTCGGCGCCTAGAACCGGATATGGCATGCTAAGCTGATATCATGTCAAGCGTTAAATAACAAACAAACTCGCAGATTGCTTATTAAACTTTCTGAACCGAATACAGATAACCTTTGGGCTCTGTCACTGCTACACACTAAGCGCTCTTCATTTCAACCAGTTCGCAGGACAACCTGCACAGTCCATGGACCTTAAAGCTCAACCGGGGGCGAGATGGCCCAAGTGGTTAGAGCGAGAATTTACTGACCGGAAGGTCCGCGGTTCGAATCCGACCTCCGCCACTCGGCTTCCCCTGTCTAGGCTTGGGCAACCTGGCAGTATCCCAGCCCTCGTACTTCCTTCGGGTGGCATGGCAGCTAGGCACCGAAAGGGTGCTACAGCTGAACGCTTTTTTTAGAGCTCAACCAGATCCCAACAAGCTAACTCATTTCCGCGGCGATTACCTGGGAGAGGCGCTCCGCCCGTTCTATCTCTCGTCTGTTATGTGTTCCTTAGGTGGGACCATTGAACGGTCCTTGCTTATACTCTATTCAACCATATAACTTTTTCGTAATGCTGCCCACTCAGGAAGAGCAACCACACCTATAAGCTTGTGATACTTTACGTTCTACTCATGATAGCATGTCTGTTGTTATCTACTCGGTGCCACCTTCGTTTTTTACCGTACGATGCCGCAGTTTTCTCGGTGATTCCAAANCCCATGGTAGTTGTTTGTCTTCCCTACACTTCTGGTTTACTTCATGATAGCTCAGGCGTCCAGACGGGCGCTCCCACCTGAATGGTCCGTCGCTCGAATCCATCCTTCCTCGTTCTCTCGACTATTTAGGCTCTCTGTATCTTCCTTGTTCTATGCGGATGTTGCGTTGAAATTTTTTTTTTATAATTTGACCGCTCTCTCGATCTATCATAAACCCTTTTCTTCGCCACCTGATAGGATAGTGGTTTCATGTATCTGGTACACAGCGTAAGCAAACTTCAGTATTGGGGCTATTCGAGTCAATTTCTACGCAACCTTTCTCCGTTCGTTCAATTACAGATAACTTGAAGCAGCTGCCTTCGTTCAACGCGGTTGTGGCGGGTGAATTGAGATTCCCCAGCAAGTTCATCCCCGCTGCACAGATTCAGTTCGATCTAGATTCTATGTTTGCCGGCTACGACTATCGTCGGCGGCACCGTACGAGCAGTCGGTTTTGGAACACACCGGTGGCTCTGTGAACAGAACCGACAGACGGATTGCCAGTATTCTTATCTGCTTTACTGTACTCTATAACTGTTACACGTATTAGTCTTTCTCATCGTACGCTGCCATATGTTACACGTGGTTCATGCCACGATTTCCGCCAAGTATAGTATGTGTGCGTGTCTCCAATTCATTCTTGTTTTTCACCGAACTTAATCAAGTTCTGTGGAGGTAGTTTTCAGTCTTTTTTCAGCTCACAAACCGTGCACCGAAGTCCAACAGCTCTGGCTGTTACATCTTCCTTCACTTAGCATAGGGAGGATAAGGGAAAGAGAACTGCGCGTTAGAGTTGATGTCCCATTTCGTACATTGACGACAAATGGATGTGCAATAGTGATAGCTACGCATTGAAGTCAATAGCTTGATGCAAGAACGCTGTTGGTCACATGACAATCCATATCTGCCAGGGTCACTGATCATTGGTTTGTTTCGTCCTGTGGTGCCTATTCACGGAGACGGTAGTTAGCAGCCCGACGGAGTTGATGGTTAAGGAATTCCTTGCTTCGTTGCCAAGCCATGAACTGACCGCCTCTGTGTTGTCTCTGTCCGATACAAGGCTGGGCGACGCAAACGGCCCAGTGGCTTACGAAGTCTGTGCTCTAGAAATCATAGCCTGTAGAATGGGACCAAGTGATCTATCGGGAGAATTGAACTCTCCCCATATTTCAGCAAATCTTGAAAAACGCGCTAATGGTCTCCGATGATCTTTCGCTGTAGAGGCGAACAGCTGAGCGATTTGGGGGCTGGAGATAGCTCAGCGGTTAAGGCGTGAACTTAGTGACCGGAAGGTTGGTGATTCGAACCCCACTTCTATATTTCAACTGTTTCTGTCTTGGCTAGGCAACCTGGCAGTATCTCAGCCCTCGTGCTTCTCTCGGGTGACGTAGCAGCTAGACACCGAAAGGATGTTAGAGCTGAGTGTGGAGGAGAACGCTTTGTGATCTCATGCTGACACTACCAGTTGATAACTCCCACACATTTTGGGATTGAAGCGCAAAATAAGATTAATGGAAATTCCTCAACCATGTCTATGGTATGCTCCCACAATCAGTTAACACGTAGTGGGCTGTCGAAGAGTTTTTAATAATCTTACAAGTGATGTCATGTTGGTGATCCACTTTGTTTCGTTTCAAAGTACTGTGCCCTAAAATCATAAAAAATGTCTCGATAGAAAGCGAAAGGTGCATGGATGTGACTGGAAGCGATTCGGGATCAAAATAAAGTTAAGCATCTTCATGCCAGGTCGGGGGCTCACACTCGTACTGCGTGAAGAAAAACAAGTTTTCTGTGCGCACTTTTCAGGTCCCGGTTTGTTCGAATGACCGGTTATTAGTACATCCATTGGACGCTAGGAGACAGCTGTGGTTGGTCTGCCAATCCCTGGCATTATTCATCGTCTGTATTTTTTTTTAATTTAAGATCTCCCGCAGTTTCCTCACCATCCTAGAATTACTTATCCCAGGGGGGATATTTCGGCGTGTATCAAAACCATTTTCGACATTCCAGACAGTTTTTATGTCTCTCAGTTGTGAAATTGATATGGACGAAAGCATCTGGCGTGCGCACACCGTGGACCTTTTTCTGAATTCGAGTCCTTCACACACCTGTTGCATAGACGTGCACCGAAAGGGTGATACGGTGAGGGTCGTATTCAGGTTAGCTGGCATATGTCGTGGACTGGTCAAAATGATGAGCCCATTGCAGTCTTTACTCGAATGCAATCGGATAACATGCAAACACAATAGTAAAATAATCTTTCGGCTGTAACGCCCTTTTCGGCAAGCGAATCCTTGACAACGGGATGTATGTGTGAACGATCGTTCAGTCTTAGATCCACCAGCCGGGCTCATCTACAACTGAGACGAATATCGGTAGTTGCCCGTCAGTATCCTCAATCACCCTGGACCTTGATTTCTCCATAGTTTTGACCGAATATCATACTTCAGCTCGTTCGGCAGTGAAGATGCACATCCTGCTCATTGTGAATGTTCTCACCCATAAATGTGCTTCAATCAGTATTTCTAAGGTGAAAAAGTCCCATTTGATTACCACTGAAATCGAGATACACCTTATTTATCTCTCATTGTTCCGAGTACTCACCATGTTCCAGGTTGAAGCGGAATGAGTGCATTTTCCAATCCTCTGAAAGCAAGTGTTTGAGGTGGGCGTCACTAGGACATACCGTTTCTCCTCCACCCGCCAGAGGGACCGAAGTGATTTTCTGTTGGTCCCCACAATCAGGGAGGAAGATCTCGAGGTGATTTGGCACAGACAGGAACACGCTGCATTGAGTTCATTTTCATAGGATTCCCTTGCCACCTAGAGCGGGATCAATGTCACACCATCAAGCAAATCTACACATCGTATAGAGTAGTTTGATGGCCGTAGACTCACAGTACTTGCTCAGTTATTTATCCAGTTCACGTGCTCTCTTCATATGTCTGCATCGTTGGTCAAGTGGTCCTTGATCTCACTCGTGTTTGAAGTTGCGTTCTGATGATTATTGACATAATGAAGAAAGCTAGGAAAAAGTCTGACTGGCCATCCCACTTCCGAATCGAGCGGCTTGGCAGTAATTGAGTTGCACTCAACAATCAACCGTTTGCCCAGCTGTAATAAGCTCAGGGGCTACTTACTCACTTCAGAGGACTCATTGTTGTTCACCCTCCACAAATACTTTTGTTGGTCCTTGGAAAACTAGTCTAAATTCTATTGGTGTCGTTGAAATTGGTATTGGCAACGAATTTGAGACCAGAAACCATTAGACCGAGTAGAAGTGATGTGCTACAGTGAACGTATGAAATGATGGTGGCCTGTTTTCCTTCGGATGCCGTACTATGAGTTCACTACCTGTATCTCCACGTATGGAGCTCATTAGGTGGAAATAGCCCCCGGAGCCAAACTCACTTAATTCCCGAACTGAGTAGCTATTTGGCCGAATGTTTACATTTGGTTTGTTATGAACTGGAGAATTCGTGAAGTCCTTCGTAGCCAAGAGCATAGTGATATCCTTCTGTATAACAGGTTATTTGGAGGTTCTTGGCTAAAAATATCCGGTGAGTTTTCATAAAGGAAACTACTCATAATGTTGCTGAAAACTCTTCGACAGCCCACGACCGGTTTCGCCCTTCTTGGG